AATAAAAAAGATTAAATATATTTCTTATTGTGGTTAAATTTAAAAAGATAAAGCAAGCTAGACTGTGTGCTTCTTGAGGACAAGGACATTATTGGTCTTGCTCACTGGATTCCAGTGTTCAGCATAGGGCCCAGCATATAGTCGGTGCTCGGTAAATACTAATACAAGGTTGTTTCTTGATCTGAATCTTGAAATAGGAAATAAATGTTTTGTTTTGCTTTCTAAACCCATGTTCTCTTCTTTATATGATTCTCAGGGAAAAAAGTTCCTCACACTTGCCTATGGTAATCATTTGGCTATTTCGAACACCACACTTGGAAAATGCTGGCTCCACGTCCCCTTCTCATCTAAGTATGTTAAAACGTTGATAGGAACCAGCGAATGTTCAGATGCAAGTAGCAGGTTGTTCTGTTTTGGGTTTCACAGTGCAACAGCCCAAGGCTCTCCTCTTCCTTTGATCCAGAAGGTGTTGGTAGGGTGCTCGACATTTTAAAAATATATTGCCTCTAACAAGGTTAGAAATAATTAGAAAATTTATGTTGTATGCAATTATATACGCTTGAAACTTGGAAATAAAGTAAAAGAATTATCCATGCCTTCTCAATATCATAAGGTCCCTGGGTGGTGCGAACGGTTTGCGCTTGATGACTAACCTAAAGGTTGGAGGTTCGAACCCACCTAGCAGCGCCACAGAAGAAAGGCCTTTGTTCTGCTTCAGTAAATACTACAGCCAAGAAAACCCAATGGAGCAGTTCCACTCTACAACACGTGGGGTTACCATGAATTGGAATCGACTCGAAAATAAAGTGTCTTTTTAAAAAAAGTTTTTATGTCATACTACAGCACTAACAAGCTCACAATGGTCCAAACAATCATGATACCAACAATCATGAAACGGTGCAGATCGGGCAATGCTTCGTTCTGTTATTCATAGGGTCGCCATGAGTAGGAGCCGACTTGACAGCAACTAACAACAACAATGCTCTGGAGTAATGTACCTTTGCTTGGCTATTTACTACTGAATATCACCCAGTAGATGTTAACTTGCAGGAGTTCGACAAGTTGCAAACCGTTTTTTTCAGGAAAAGTATCAATGATTTCTGACTGGTAGAAAAGTTAACCCCAAAGGTTATAGTTTCATTACCCTATAGAATGTTAACCAGCTTTGTACCTCACTAAGTGATCATATTTCTGCACTTTTTTTTCACCACCTACCTACTCTAGTCTCTCGTATTCACCTTTGAGCCAGTTTCGCCATCCAGCTAGTCCCTTCGTTAATGAGTTAAATATATCTTTGACACGTGCTTACTGTACATTTGTATGAGTGCCATGATTTTACCTTTATGAAAACTATACTTTGCCAAGTTAATGTATCATATCATCTTAATGGACTCTACGAACGGGTACAGTTGCAGAGAAAAGGGTTTTAGACTCTAGAATAGTTTGTTGTTATCAGTTAACTATTTCCTCCATAAAGCATCCCAAGACTTGCATGCCCTTGATCAGTGCAGATCCAAATCATGTATCAATTATTCTGAAAGGTTTAAAAACATATGAACAGAAACTATCCCAATGCCACACCTAATTTTCATATTCTTAAAGGTTTTCAAGATGAATCCAAACCAAAAAACCAAACCCAACCCATTGCTGTTGAGTCAATTCCGACTCATAGTGACCCTATAGGACAGAGTAGAACTTCCCCATAGGGTTTCCAAGGAAGCAACTGCCGACCTTTTGGTTAGCAGCTAATCTCTAAACCACTGAGCCACCAGGGCTCCTCAAGTTGAGTCAGCCAAGAATAATTCCTAATCAAGGTTTAAAAAAAAAAAAAAAGATAACAGAAATCAGAACAACTCTAGGACCTCAGTTCTGTAAGTTGCTGAATCTGGCTGGAAGTTCGAATCCACTAGCCACTCCTTGGAAACCCTATGGGGCAGTTCTATCCTGTCCTATAGGGTCGCTGAGTTGGAATCGACTTGATGGCAACGGGTTGGGTTTGGTTTTATAGGGACTAATCTGAAATGGTATCTTTGGGAAAAAAGCAAAGTGTAGAAGAGTTTATAATATATATAAGTTGTTGTGTGCCATCGAGTCAATTCCTACTAGCGACCCTATAGTACAGGCAAAGAAAGATAAGTGCCTCACTGTGCCCCGTAGGGTTTCTAGGAGTAGATTGTCAGGTCTTTTCTTCTGCAGAGCCACTGGGTGGGTTTGAACTGTGGATCCTTTGGTTAACAGCTGAGCGCTTAACCACTGTGCCAACAGGACTCCTTGATATATATATATATATATATATATATATATACACGCACACACACACATATACATATATATTTAAAGGGAGGGGAGAGGGGAATATGTGTGATCATGTGTGTGTGCATACATATATATAGCTTAAAATATTTCTGGAAGGACATGGTAAAAAAAAAAGTTGCTTCTGGAGGAGGAAGTTATGTAATTGGGAGAGGTCATGGCTAGGAGGAAAAGTTTTTACACCACTTGAATCTTAAAAAAAAATACATGTATGTTACCTTTCAAAAAGAATTAAAAAATAAAATACAAGATTGTCCAAGTAAATATGAAGGGATGCCATCTTTTATGTTGATGCCTTTCTCTGTAATAAGCAGAGGCTTTAAATCTCACCTCACTGAGGACCTAGGAAGTTATTCACACCCCCCCCCCCACACACACACACTAAGTGAGCGCATGCAAGACTACGGAAATCCTAGGAAGGTCTTGGATTGCATCAGTGTTGGTTTCCTAGTCGTGGTATTGTTCAGCAGTTATGGAACATGTCACCATTGTGGGAAATTGGGTGAAGGCCTCTCTGTGTATTTTGTTGCAATTTCTCCTAAAAGTATAATCATTTCTAAATAAAAACAAAACAATGCTATTGGCCTATAAAGGCTTACATGTAAAGAAAACCTACGTTCCATCTTTGGTGCTCCTATGGCACCTGTGAGGCACTTTATCTTTGTCTGCTTCCTCAGAAATAGTTGGGGGCTGAGGGGCAGCCTTCCAGGGCAAAAGACATCAGAAGGAATCCTGAGTGGGGAGCAATGGAAAGGGCACTTTCACCCCATTCTGTCCAGGCCTAAAATGAAAACAAAGACAAAACACGAGTCTTCGCTTGTCTTCCTTCTTGGCACTCTCTGGGCAGTACCTGGCTTCAGGGTTACTTTGGATCCCTGAGGAGCAGAAGGAATGCCGTCTATGGGAACAAGCTAAGGTGGGAAAAGGGCTCTGCCACAGAAAGGGGCAACCTGGGAACTGGAGCTACTGGACATCAGGGCTGCAGAGCGAGTTCTCTGGGTCAGTAGGTGGCCGGACCGCCTAAGTGTGTATTCCGCTCGGCAGTGTGCGGGGTGCTAGTCAGGTTCTAGCATGGTGGATTTCAGTCAGGTACGTTTTGGAGACAGGCAGAAGGGGAGTACTGGACGTAAGCACACACTTCACGTCTTTAGACTTGTGCAGTTTTATTTAACAAGCCCTCTATTATCTTCTGACTTTTTTGGAGTCACACTCTGCGTCTAAAAAGGCACTTGAGACATCTGTGTGTCTGTCTGTAGACCTGGTGATCACGTGTATGGCACACAAAGCTTAGACATTCTTAAGCCAAAAGTATTAAACAAAAAATCCCCAAAAAGTAAAAACAAAATAAAAAACGTCCCCCACATGGTTATTTAGAGCCGCCTACGATAAAGAAGGACTCTGTGGGTGGTGCAAACGGCTCGGCTGCTAACTGAAAAGTTGGAGGTTGCAGTCCACCCAGAGGCACCTTGGAAGAAAGGCCTGGTGACATGCTTCTGAAAAATCAGCCATTGAAAACCCTATGGATCACAGTTCTACACTGATGCACATGGAGATGTCACGCATCGGGGTCAACTCAGTGCCAACCGGTACTGTTTTTATTATAATAAAGGAAATACACAACACATTAGCTAATATCTTTTATTGTCAGACCTTCTTTGAGCCAACAAACATGATTTCGCATGGTTGTCCAAAAGGGGTAAGGCAAATTTCTTGTTTCCTTGTGGGCGGAGTTAGTTGGCCCAAGCCTTTACAATTTCTCCATATAAAAATAAAAGTCCAAGACCAGATTATTTTGCTCCTGGTCATCAATGCTGATTTATTTACAGGTGCTCTGTTGAGACCACCCTTATGAACTTGGGATAAAACGTGTATATTGCATTAAAGCCTCACCATTTCATGCCAGGGTCCTGTAAAGATTCACTCATGTGTTGCATTTTTTTCAGGAATGCAGTATCATTATATCATAATTGATCCCAGATTGATGGTACAAGTCTAACCTTCAAAAAAAAAAAAAACCCATTTTTTAACTTAAACGCTTTAGAAACCAAAGACTCCAGAATGACAACATAGTGTTCTAAAAATGGCGTTGGAGTCCTCTGTTTAAGAGTGGCTTATAAATACAATTATCCCGTGGCTGCATACCTGTTTTATAAACAGCAGATACAGAATGCAGGCTTGCTACATGTAAAACAAAACCGCGTCCAACTGTGTCGTTGGAAATACAGCCTAGATAGGAAAATCCGAGGTTGCGGGTTGTTAATAAAACCGCTTCATACAGGAACAACTGAGGATTATAACTCTGAACCGTTAAAATATACAGACAGACCGTTTACACCATTGCACCGCCTTTTCCCTTTGCTTTTAATGCTCATGAAACAAGGGCTGAAGTGATGCGCTCACCGGGTACATGCGCACACAGGCAAGCACACAGACTTACAAGATGAAACAGAGCAAGGTGAATACGTGTCCGAGGAAGGCTACCAGCAGCACTCCAACCAAATGTCCTGTCCCCCTTGGCTCCCTCTGTCCCCTCCCCACTCCCTCACCTTCCCTCAGATGCAGGAAATCAGGCTGGGAGGTTAGTGCATAACTGACGGATAAACACCCCTTCCAAGCTCGCTGTGAGTCTCCTGAAAAGGGGGCAAGAGCATCGCCCTTCAGTAGCATAGTTAAGACCAATTAGTGTCGGTTCCCCAAGTTAAGGCACTTCCGGCTGCTCTGGCGGCAGCGTGGGTTTCGTTTTTCCTCTTTCTTTTTTTAAGGCATCTAAGAGTACTAAAGCTTTGGAAATTGTGCAGACTGTTGACAGCTTACTACATGATCAATGAAGCTGACAAGGCAAAAGGACCCTCGGAGGCACCTCTCTCCGCTGAGGGGCTTCCAGAAAGCCCGGGTTGCTCCGCGCACAGCACGGCTTGGCACGCTGGAGCCCGCGGAGGCCAGATGGTGGCGCGTTCGGAAGCTAAAGACGCGTGGACGCTCTCCCATGTTCACCTGGAGCTGCCCTGACTGCTCACGGAGCGCGAGGTGCTGTAGCGCTTCTTCACGATCATGCTGATGTAGGCTTTCATGAGCTTGGCCACGTCTACCACCTGCCAGAGAAGCAGAGCCGCGCATGGTTGAGATGCCAGCAGGTCAAAGGTCCAGGCCTAATAACCAACCACACATCCTGTGCCCAGCAAGGCAGAGAGAGCTCGTCACCATGCAAACTCCAGCAGTTTGTGACACTAACCCATGTCTCAAAGTTTATATTCAGCCCAACATTTAGCTGCTTTTACCTATTCCTGGTCAGAAAGAAGGGGAACTGTGGTTTCTCCAAATACAATGTGTACCCCCTGGTAGTTCTTTCCCACGAAAATGGCAATCTTGCTTGATGTGAATAAATGGTCCGATTTTGTACGGAAATAAATAAAATCACAATATCCAAGGACACTTAAGTTTGTTGGTATATTTAGGGCTGGGATTACTATCTCCACTTAAGCAAAGTAACGGTAAATGACAGAGGCCATAATCCCAACCTTAAAGACTGGATCGTCTAATTCTAGTCAACTCCTCATGATGCAGCTAAGGAATAGAGATGGGGGGCCCAAGAGGGTTAAGCCACCTCCCCGGACATCTAGCTTCGTTCTGCTCCTGACGAGCCATCTCCTTGGGCTGCTGGCTCCCTCCCGTGACGCTTTCACTGCCGCCCCCTTTGGTGCACCCTTCATCACCACCGGCCAGGGGCCCTGTGAAGGCACCCTAAGCCTTTCCCTGGCCTCTTGGCCCTTCCAGTTCTGCGCTGGCTCACCATTTGTAAAATCACTGCTGTTACTAGATGCCTCAGCCAAAGGTCCCATAGAAGCTCCCTGCTGTCTACTGGATTGGACCAAATCCCACAGCCTGGCGCCTGGGACCCTCCCACCAAAGCCCCCACCCCACCACCTTTCCACCTCACTGCCTTGTCAGCCTAGTCTATCCAGCATACCCCTTCCATAGCCTGATCAGCCCCCGAGACCCTCCTCTCCAATACTTTACCCCAACAGCCGGACAGGAAGCTGTGGTTCATTTCAACTGAACACCTGTGCTCACCACCAGCTCCCTTTCTGGACGATTCAATAGGCTTCGTGTATTATCACTATTGTAAGCTTTGGAACCAGTGTTGCACATATTTAAAGGCTTTTTTTTGGGACTCTGTGCCCAAGATGGTCATGCTTCACTGCCCACCCTGTTCAGCAGATGCCGCCAGAGCCCAATTCCACAGCTCTGACGTCCCGGCGTAATCTGCTACCTATTTTCACAAGGTTTTATTGCCTAACTGTACACTGCTTCTCTGACATCTGTAGCATATCATTTACCTTTCTCTCCCTTTCCTTCACCGGTAAGACCCCAGATAACAACGGGACCACGTTTCTCTGTTGCAAAGGTATAGAGAAGGCATTTGCCATGCCCAGATTTTCGCGTGTGAGGAACCCGCAGCTGGGGAGGGACCACCACCCTGTCTTTTCACGTTTTAAAGGGAAATACTAAAATAGAATCCTGCAGTCAAAGGCATCCGAAAGTGGGGTGTTGTTTTGCCAAGGCCACGAATGAAAAGGCCTCCTTGGCTTGTTTCTTACCTCACTGGTTTCAAAGAGCAGCTCCCGCTCATCCACCACGATCTTGTACGTGTTTGCCAGGGGGGCCCCGAAAGAGAGGATGTGCTCATACTGGAAGACTTCTAATGGCCTTCCCTCCCCACGCTTGTACACAGAGACGGCATCTGCGCTGACGCCGAGCCAGAGTTCCTGGGGGAAGCCGCCTTCCTTGCACTAGTGGGCAAGAGAATGAGTATCAGGGGTAAAACATAAGGCATTTAGAAGGCCATCCTGGAGTTAAGCACTAGACAAGAATACTGAATGCACTCAACGTGCATTTATATTTGGGGGATTGAAATATGAGAAATGGTATCTCTAGCAATTTTGATTGATTTTTAATCAGTAGATCAATCCAGAGCATTTGGGCAACCTAATGGGTAGTTCAGACACGTGGCTGTGACTCTCCAGCTCTTGATGTCATTACTTTGTTAGTTATTGCAGTTAGCTACATGGAAAACAAAAAAAAAAAAAAACCAAACCTGTTGCTGTCCAGTCAATTTGGACTCATAGTGACCCTGTAGGACAGGGCAGAACTGCCCCCCAGGGTTTCCAAGGAGCCGATGGTGGATTCGAACCACCAACCTTTTGGTTAGCAGCTGAGCTCCTACCCACTGTGCCACCCGGGCTTCTTATAAAAGGCCTGGTATACACACACAGGTGGAGGGACTTGACAGAGATCCCTGAGAACAGAGCAGCCCAAGCCAGTCGACTCTGCTATCTCCAGTGCTGCCTCAGATCCTTTTTTGGATGATGATTCATCAAACACAAAATTTAGGAGCACAGAGGAAAATTTCTTAGATTGCTCTATACAGAGTGGTTTTGGCTCCTCTTGCAAAACACAATTCCGAACAAGGAGCACCAATGGTCTTCTGTATGTATGATGGTAACAGATTTCATGGCTTTAACTACAGGTGTTCTTGCACAGATCCATGGAAGAAATAACAAGCCTCGATGTAGAGGTAACAACACAGTGCTGACCCAACACGAGCAGGGTGATATAAATTAGTGACACCCAGAGAGGACGTACATGGTCCAAAGCATGACTCATATGCAGAAACAAGGTTGTTTCTGTAAATCTTGGGAAAACAAAATTTCCCATGCTGGGAAACTGCGTGCCACGTATCATTTTCAGGACAACCAACCAACCAACCAACCAACCAACCAACCAACCCACCCACCCACCCACCCACCAACCAACCAAAGTCAGAGTCTGATGAAAAGCCACTAAAGGGATCTTGGAATATATCATTAAAATTTAGATTTTTATAGGGCCTCATTTGAGAGTCATCAGATAATAGGCTGAATTATTGTGATCTAAGAAAAATGGAAGTTAACTTATATTACGGGCTGGCAATCATTTTCTATAAAAAGTTAGACAATAAATACGTTAAGTGTTGCAGGCCATAGGTCTCTGTTGCAACTACTCATTTCTGCTGTTTTAGCATGAAAGTAGCTACAGACAATACGTAAATGAATGAGTGTGGCTGTGTTCCAATAAAACTTTATGTACAAAAGCAGGAGGTGGGCAGGATTTGGCGTGTGAGCTGTAGTTTGCTGACCCTGATCTAGATCATTGGTAAGATTTCCTTTCAATAAATGGTCTACTTTAAAAAAAAAAAAAAAAAAAGCAGTACTGGATTGATGCTAATGGCTAAATTTCAATTATGAAATAGAAATTCTTCCCTTCAATCAGATGATCACAGCAAAAAAACGAAAATGCAAAATGCAACTATATTTAAAGTTTCTAATTTGTACATGTAACCCGTCGAGTCGATTCTGACTCATAGCAACCCTATAGGACAGAGCAGAACTGCCCCATAGGGTTTCCAAGACTGTAATCTTTATGGAAGCAGACGTCTTTTCTCCCGTGGTGCCACTGGGTGGGTAACAACTGCCAACCTTTGGGTTAGCAGTTAAGCGCATAACCACTGCGCCACCACGGCTCCTTATTTGTATATACAGTTCAAAAAAAGTTTTTTAATGCACATTTTTTTCTACCAGCACTTTTGGGTTAGAACTATCTACAGCTCCCCTGAGAAGTAGTGGTGGAAGTTAAGAACAGGTGACATCTTCATTTTCCATTCATTCCTAATACAGTAAAACCTGTGAAAGCCAGAACCTGTCAGAGAAGGAAAACTCAAATATTTCCCACTAAAACCAGGGACAGAAAAGTGGTAAGACCGCACCCTGTCAAAGGCAGAAAACTTGCAAGACCTGGAAAAACAAGGCAGTCTCGTTAAGTTCCGGCTCTCACAGGTCTTACTATATTATGGAAGCCTTTACTGCAAAGAGGAAAAAAACTTTTTTCGGGGGGATGGCTGGGTGTGATAACAGTAAAGATTTGGGGGCTCTAAAAAAAGAGGGTGGGGGGGTACAGTGGCCCATCTCACCCTTTGTATGAACTTGGTTGTGACTTAGGTTCTCAGACGTAGCCTGGACTATGAAGTGGTGCCCGCCTGCCCCAAAGGTAAAGTGGATAGTTCTCACCTCCACGTCGAAGAGCGTTGACCCGTACCCAGGCCACTCCTTGATCAGGGCCATGTACTTGACCATGGCCTGTTCCTGGCTCATGCCCTGGAATTTCTTCCACTTGTCAACGATGTTGGCTCGAGCAGAGGAGACTTCCTCCTTCACCCACATGTCCACCATCTGCTCTTCCTCTACTTTCTGCTTGAGGACGGACCCTGTGCGGAAGCTGCGCCTCAGTGTCCCCTCCAGGAAGCTCGTCCGCCTCTTCTCTAGCCGCTCGCCAGGAGTGAAGCTCTTGGTTGACTGGCTGATGCGGGCCTTGAGTCTCTGCAAGGAGTAGACCTCTTCCAGGGCTGGGATTGCAGCGTGCAGGGTGTAATCTCCCTGCAGGTACTGGAGGCGTAAGGCAGCCAGAACCTGCAGGTTCTCTTCTGGGGCTGGATAGTGGCCGTGGATGACCGCTTCGTGGGCCTGAAAAAGCAGACAACAGCTTTATGGTCAAGACAACACTATTCTACAGGATGTCTGTGTGGTCACACCTTCGGAATTTCTCTAAAATGTCACCTTCCCTGACTGCTTGTCTTCAATGCTTTAAATTCTCCCTTGCACAGACACCATCTGTTATGGATTGAATTGGGTTCCCCAAAATATGTGCTGAAATCCTAACCACTATGCCTGTGGATGGGATCCCCTTTGGGGAATAGGGGTTTCTTTGTTATGTTAAGGAGGCCAGAGCTGTGTAGGGTGTGTCCTAAAGCTAATCACCTCTGAGCAGCATGGACATAGAGACCAAAAAAAAAACACAAACTGGGGAAGGACAGACGCCACGTGAAGATGGCCAGGGAATCGAGGAACTCCCGGGTTACAGACGCCGAGACAAGTATCCTCCCCCAGAGTCAACAGAGAGAGCTTTTCCCTAGAGCCTGAACTGGACTTTTAGCCTAAACTGTGAAAAAATAACTTTCTGTTCTGATAAAGCAGCAGCAGGTAATGAGGACACCATCTAACACATTCCATGTATTTTTCTCCTTATTGTTTTCCTCCTCCCCCAACTAGGGCAGTTCCTGGTGGAGGAGTTCAAACAAAATGTGCAGCAGGTTCATTCCACAAATGAAAGGGCCTCCTGGCCCTGTGCAAGCTGGGAAATCTCCTGCCACACATTGCGTCTAAGGACCAGAAGGTTCTTTACAAGGTGTGTTAATGGGGTTTTACCCTTGCTCTCCAGGGAAGGAAATCTGCTTCTGAAAGCCCCTTTTACCTGTTCAAACATAAATGCAAATTCCACGCTGTCTTTTGGCACATTATCCGTGTCCAAGAAGCAGTAAAGTTTGAAGTAGAATTTCCATGGCAGGTCTCCCACCTCTGATGTGGCAGCCAGCCTACAAGAGAAGTCACAGTGGATTCAGACAGCAACGTGAAAGACAGGCCTCAGGCAAGACACCACACCAAACTCAAACCTATCCCCGTGGAGTCCATGAGGCCTGGCTGCGACCCCCTGTGTCACACAGTAGAACTGCTCCACAGGATCTTCTTGGCTACAAACTTTACAGAAGCAGATCACCAGGGCTTTCTTTCCTGGTACCGCTGGGTGGGTTGGAACTGCCAGCCTTTAGGTTAGCAGCTGACTGCAAACTGCTTGCGCCACCCAGGACCTGTGTAACCCACAGGGGTTGACTTTATATGGCTTACCCTGAGGATACAGACATTCCGCCCCTGCTCCTATAACAGAGGTGGGTGGCGGTGGGGACGCAGGAAGACGGAAAGCAGAACAAGAGGAGGGAGGCTAATCAGAGAACCTCAGTAACTTTAATCAACCACAGTAAAAAAACTGCTTTCACCCTGGCCTCACTTTATGTAAACAAATGGGCAGCCTTTAATTAAGCTGTGCTAACAAGTACTGTCTAAGGACCCTAGTTTAACTAGCCAGCACTAAGCCAAAGCCACAGAAAGAAAAGAAATGAAGGCTATTTCTACATTCCTCAAACAACTACAGCAATATTTATAAAAGTGATATGAATGTAATTTCAGGGGGGCTGTGTATATACCAACCAGGAATACTTTTTTGTGCTATGTAGGGGATATGAGAGTCACAGGTCAAACAGGGTAAGGTAAGGTCACAGGTCAAACACCAAAAACTGAACCGGATGCCATCTAGTGATTCCGACTCATGGTGACCCATGTGTTACAGAGCAGAACTGCTCCATAGGGTGTTCTCGGCTGTAATCTATATGGAGGAGCCCTGGTGGCATAGTGGTTAAGAGCTTGGCTGCTAACCAAAAGGTCAGAAGTTCGAATCCACCAGCTGCTCCTTGGAAACCCTATGAGACTGTTCTACTGTGTCCTACAGGGTCGCTACGAGTTGGGATCGACTTGACGGCATCAGGTTTGGTTTGGTTTGGTTTTAGTTTAATCTGCATGGAAGCACATCACCAGTCCTTTCTTCTGAGGTTGCTGGATGGGTTCAAACTGTCAACCTTCTGGTTAGTGCGCCACCCGGGGGCCTTACTGTAGGTCCAAGGGATATAAAGTGCAGTCTGAGGAGGTCAGAAGTTGGCTTGAATCTATTAGTCCAGTTTCAAAGTTACTGACAAGTGCAAATCTAAGAATAAGGACATCCTAAGGTGATGGATTATAAAAGAGTACTAAGAGAAAGGACAGGTAAAGGGACAATAAGAAGATGAATTATATTAGAGACTGAGGATGTAGTCAGGAATCAAGGAAAAGAGATCAGTAGCCAGAGGAGATAGATGAAAAACTGAATCAGATTCAACACTGGTAAAACGGAACTAACTCAAAATACAGAACGAAGCCTAAAATGGAAGGGAAGTTCAAATCCTCAACCCTCGCTCTTAATCTCTTGTATTCAGTATGGTGGCATTTTAGAAAGAGGAACTTACTTTTCAAACTTTGCTAAGACATCAGCCACGATGGTTCGGCTTTCAATGGCTTTGTCGAGGTATCCATTGTACTCAAACAAGGCGAACATGTTCCTGCTGTCCTCCATGGCGAGACCTCTGATCAGCTTCTCCACCACCTGAAAGACAGCACGGGGTCTTCAGCTTCAGAAGCTGTGGTCCCAGCATGTGGTTACGGATGCGCCTTCATCAGAACCCAGAGGGCGCTGTTGGCGTAAGTGAGGCTCAAAGCAACCTCCTAACGTGGTCACATAGGGTCACCCCAAGATTTCAAAAGCACTGTTTTCCACTTGTTCTGTTGAAATTAGCTTTATCTCTTTCCTGCCAAAAAGAATAAAGGGTATTTGGCCCATCAGCTGCGGCAGATGTTGGGCCAATCGCCTGCAAACCCATACTAATAGGGTAAAAGCAAGAATGCTAAAGCCCTGTCTTTTATCTGATAAATTCATGAACTTCAAGAAACAATAGACAATCTCATCGATCTGTCAGTAAATGAATACTTCGGCTTTATCTCTGGCTTACTCCATCCCTCTGTGAGGGGGTAAGCCAGAGAGGAGTAGTAAGGATTATTTCTGCCTAAGAGCAAAAACTTTTTTCAAACTCAAATATATAAAGTCTCTCCTCTTTTAAAAGCTCTAAGCTAAGTCAAGATTCAGGAATTGTTCACACAAGTTTTTAAAGTGGTGGAAGAAACAATGGCAATGACTTCCAATGTTTCTTCTACACAAGAAGCTTTTCTGGGTTTTACTGCACAACTTCTTCTAGCCAAGTGGTTTTATAATAGTTTAAATTAAAAAAAAAAAAAAGAAAATGTGAGGGAGTCACTGCTTAGGGGGACTGAGTTTGTCCATGGCCATGAAATATGGTGATGGCTGCATAACATGATGAACGTAATCAATGTCACAGAACTATATGTGAAAAACACGTTGACCAGTAAATGTTTTGCCATATATATTTTTACCACAAAAAAAGGAAAGTAAAGAAAGAAAATGTGATCACCTGACCCAACATTCTAGATCTTTATGGGTCAAACAGAAACACCTTTTTGCAGAAGCTATACAAGAAACCCTTGTTGTAGTCGATATACCTGAGTTAGGTCTGCAGCCTGCAGTAGATACTCAAGTTAGCAAGACTATGTTTCAGACATTTTGGCACAAGTTTAATTTTGTGCTTCTGCTCATCTTTAATACATGTTTTCATCTCTGTATAAGTGGTTGGTTACAGGTTACATTTATTTCTTTGCTTACCAAACAGCTGTACTATGCAAATAAAGCTGTGCGTTATAGCCAATCTAATTATGCCCAACTTTCCCGAGTGAAGCAGAGCGGTAATTACGCATCCCAGAGGTGTGCAGTGGCCTCTCCCTCACCTCCCCGGCCGTGGTGTGGGAGTTGATGGTAATCTTGCAGGAGCCTCCACCATGGCAATACACCGTGGACGTCATTTCCTGCCTGTGGATCAGAGCTTCTATTTCATCCCGGGAAGGCACAAACTCTCTGCATTTGGTTTTCTTAAGAGATTCATAAATGAAGAGGGCGTACTTTTCCATCTCGGTTCCTGGAAACTGTTCCCGTATCCTAGGAGACAAACACTGACTGTTAAATTGCTGCATTGAGGCTGGTGGTGGAAGGCTGCTGGGAGCCTGGCTGTTCAAGGCTCTGCAGAGGACGTGGTAGATGGCCTCCTGGTGGTGAACAGAGCAAACACAGAGACTTCTTGGCTGGGAAGCTGTGCAGGTTCTGCTTACATATGAAAAAAACACAGAGCAAAGGTCTGACTGGGAGCACTTTTGATGCCAGCTCACTTCTGCAGGGCTTTTAACACTTGTAAGGGCCAAGCCTTATAACATCACATGAAAATTGTTTTCTTCCATAGTTAGTCAAAATGTGAATCAGATTGTTTCCACCTGTTTGATCTAGAACAAATACTCAAGTTGTTATTTTTTTCTATTTATATAAGGTGTTGTTGTGTGCCGGCGAGTCTTTTCCAATTCCTAGCGACCATATATGACAGACCAGAACTAGAACTGCCCCAGAGGGTTTCCTAGCTGTAATCTTTACGGGAGCAGATTGCCAGGTCTTTTCTCCCACGGAGCCACCAGGGCTCCTTTTACATAGGGTTATGGTAATTATTCTGGCCGTACTTCTTCCGTGACAGATTTGATCATCTTTCTGGTGGCCAGAATGCTCCTCAGAAACGAGGATGGCGAGACTTCATCTCACATACTTTGGACATGTTATGAGGAGGGACCAGTCCCTGGAGAAGGACATCGTGCTTGGTAAAGTAGAGGGTCAGTGAAAAAGAGGAAGACCTTCAACTAGATGGACCGACACAGTGGCCGCAACGATGGGCTCAAGCATAACAATCACGAGGATGGCACAGGACCAGGCAGTGTTTCGTTCGTTGTACACAGGGTCGCTGTGTTGGAATGGACTCCACAACACCTAACAACAGTAACAGTGCTAATTACAATTATCTAATGTCCTACAGGACAACACAAGAATGTTTTAGTCCCTGAAATAGCTTGTGTGGCTTAGAAAAAAGAAGTCCCTATTTTTGTTCAAGGGAACTATAAGTCTGACCCAGAGTTCCCAGACCTACGCTGTTGTTAGATGCCGTGAGTTGGCCCCCGACTCATGGTGACCCCATACACAACGGAATGGCACACTGCCTGGTCCCATGCCACCCCCATGATCAGTTGTGGAGTGGCCCGTTGTGATGCATAGTTTTCACTGGTGGATTTTCAAAAGTAGACTGTCAGACTTTTCATCCCTGGCTTAGTCTGGAAGCTCTGCTGAAACCTGTTCAGCATCACAGCCACACACAAGCCTCCACTGACAGACAAGCAGTGGCTGCACATGAGATGCAATGGCTGGGAATCAAACCCAGGTCTCCTGCGTGGAAGGTGAGAATTCTACCACTGAACCACAAAGGTCCCCAGACCTACACTGCTGTTGTTTGTTGCTTTGTGTCAGATCTGACTCATGGAGACCCTACGAGTGCAGAGTAGAACTGCTCTGCAGGGTTTTCAAGGCTGTGACCTTTCAGAAGCAGATCACCAGGCACCTCTGGGTGGGTTTGAACTGCTCACATTTCAGCTAGCAGACAAGTAGTTAACCATGTGCACCACCCAGGGACTGCCAGATCTACACTAAACCAAAAACCTGTTGCAACTGAGTTGATTCTGACTCACAGCGACCCTACAGGACAGAGAAGAACTGCCCCATGGGGTTTCCAAGGAGCGGCTGGTGGATTCGAACTGTCGACCTTTTGGTTAGCAGCCGGGTTCTTAACCACTGTGCCACCAGGGCCCCAGACCTACAGCAGGTGTCTTCTATCAAGGTCCTCTTTATCTCCACTATGATCCATTGTACCACCCATGGGAGAGCATATCCCTCGACCAGCTTCCAGGTCCCTCGTATCCCAGGCTGCTTTACCTCTTCAGATGGAACTTCAGGTACTTGAGAATCCCCCGACTGGGCAGGAAGGTGCAGCTCAGGCACGTGAGGATCTGCCAGCTGTACAGGTTGCCCACACTGCCGGGATGGGGCACTTTGTTGGTCTGTTTGATGAGCTGGCAGTATAGCTCATCTCTCAGGGGTCGGAGGTCATGCCCCGTCTGGAGGATGCCCTGGATTATAGGAATAGGGTCAGACATGGATTCCAGTTGCTGGAGGGAATTGAATATCTTGATGGCTTCATCCTGAAGGGTTGTATAGCCTTTGTCTTTGAGCACTGTGAAAAGCAAAACAAACAGGAGTCACACAAGGGCTTCAGAGAAGGTATAATCTCAGCAGCTGACAAGAGGAAGAAATGGGGATATACAGCCTCCCCTATACATTTGAATGGAAATCCTGGTGGCACAGTGGTTAAGAGCTACAGCTGCTAACCAAAAGGTCAGCAGTTCAAATCCACTAGGCGCTCCTTAGAAACTCTATGGGGCAGTTCTACTCTGTCCTGCTGGGTCGCTATGAGTTGGAATCGACTCAACAGCAATGGGTTTGGTTTTTTTTTTTTTGGTATACATTTGAATGGAGCGAGACCTGATGGTGCAGTGGTTAAGTGTTCAGCTGCTAACCAAAAGGTCAGCAGTTTGAATCCACCAGTCACTCCTTGGAAATCCTATGGGGTAGTTCTACTCTGTCCTATACAGTTGTTGTAAGTAGGTTTGGTATGTTTAGTTCCAATCTGTCCTATAGGGTTGCTCTGAGTCGGAGTCCACTCAATGGCAATAGGCTGACACTTGAATCAGCTGAACACAGCTGTAAAAACAGAGGTAGCTAAGTTACATTGTTTCATTATGTAATTCGCTTATATTAACTGTATAAAACATTTACTTATAAGCTGGTCTACTGCCTGACAGGTTCCCTATTTGGGATGCAAAACTCTTTAGGATCTAGTTCTCTAGTATAAGAATGGTGACTCTGAGTTCATCGGGGAGGTTGGCACTTTTGACTCCCTTTTAGATTTTTTCTTTTACTGCAACAGTCCTTGGAGGAGCTTAGTATCACTACATCCAAGCTTTGCAAATCCTCGCTTTAGTAATTAGTATATTTTAAAAAAATTCTTGATGACTAAAACGGTCTTTGAATTAAAGAATTACAACCAATGCTAACGCATTAAGAGCTAAAGACTTAATAGGGAAGACATCAGAGACTCAGTGGAGTCGGGCGGGACTGTGTACTTACAGTTGAGATTGATGTCTCCGTATGGGAGGGGCAGGAGCGGAGAATGCAGAGGGTGATGGGTGTAGCGCAGGATTGGGTTCCGCTTATAAATTTGCTCTACCACATCGGCGTTCAGGCAGTTCTCCTTGAAAATAAAGAAACCACAGGAGGAAGAGAGAGAAATGGGCGGGAGGGGAAGGAGAAAGAAAAGAAGAGGGAGGAAGGGAAAGAAGAAAGGAAGAAAAAAAAAAACAACAAAGAGAAGCAAGTTTACTAGAAGAAACACATCCCTAAAGAAACATCGTCTATATTAGATTTCAGAAGTCGAAAACATTCACAAACCCAGCGTGTAGGGAGGTGGGTTTGGAGAACCTTGCGCTGATCATCTCAGACACAAAGATACCCACAATCTGTTTTAGAAGATGAATCACCAAAAAGAAATTCTTCTTACATACTCGAACCTCTTCATTCCACTTACATGTACTTCCCACATTATTTAATAAAAAAAAGCTCTCAGAGATTATACTTTAAAAAATGAATTTACACTTCTCTTGCTACTTAGCTATTGATTGTTTCGCCAAATCATGTTAACTTTGTCTATAATTAATTTTAGAAATACATTTCCCTAATTATTTAACTGTTTTTTGCATTCTCCCTATAACTGAAAACTACACAGAAAAACAACTTACTAAAATTAATCGCAATCAAAATGCAGCTGCTAAACTAAAGCAAGGGAGCCCTGGTGGCACAGCGGTTAAGGAACTTGGCTGCTAACCAAAAGTTTGGTGGTTCGAGTCCAGCTGCTGCTCTATGGAACCCCTATTGGTCTGTTCTACTCTGTCCTATAGGGTCGCTATAAGTCGGAATCGACTCCATGGCAATGGGTAGATAAGTAAAACTAAAGTAAAAATGGAAATGACTCTGAGAAAATGTCCTGCAGTTACTCATCAGTCTGGGGGGATTTCTTCATCCACACATCCACCTTCCCCGCCCCCCCATGAAACTGAAGGGAGCCTCTCACTGAATTTCCATCATGCATTTATGCTGTAAAATGCTAATTGGGGGTATGAGAAAGCCAAGGTTACTTTCAGAACTTTAAATAAACAGGAAAGTTGGAGAAGAGGCAATGAATCATTCTACGATGGTAATTTCATTTCCATTATGAAACTTTTTCAGTAACATCAAATTAAAAGTCAGAAAAAAAATTAATTATTTAAAAAAAAAATGTATGGACCTTTTTGGGGTCACTTGTCTAATTTTTTAGGATGCAGTGTTTCATATTTGGAAAATTCTATTTATGTTTTTAAAATCTACATTCAAAATAATCAGTGAATATAGCGATAGATGAGGTAAGATGTAGCTCTGAAAACAAACTTTGACCGATATGATTTTTTTTCACTCCTTTCTCAAAAGAAAGCTTCAATCCATCAATCAGTCAATCAATATATTTTTTAGGTTAGAAATTAGATTATTAGTATACAGCACCCTGGGTTCCACAGAAACCTTTGGAAAATTAATGACTTGCTAGAATTTGGCTCCTAATACTCGGAAAACGTAACACTTTGTAATCAAGATGCCAGCTTGACTATGCTGGGAACTCATACTGATGATATATTAGCCCCTCTCCCATCTCTGAAACAGCAGTTTGCTTATGTTCCCGGACCCTGCTGGCTAATTTCCTTTCATGTACATTGGTAACATAGCTGCCTCACATACCTAAGTGTTTATTAACTATCATTCTAGCGTATTTTCTGTGACAGCTCCAGCTCTTTCCTTTGTATTTAGAATCTGCCTGTGTGGATAACGTGGAGGAACAGTGGTAAAATCAATTCCCTTGACCTGGTCCTGCATCAGGAACTGACTAGCTAAGTGAGCAATGCACCCAGAATATTCCATTTCTCTGTTTCCTTTCTTGGGAAATGGCAGCTCAGGGTTATTCATGTATTCAACATATACTGAGCAACTATATCTTGATGAACAGGAAATTAACACCATCAGTGTTAGTCCAGAGACTTGGGAGCTTCTGTGAGTTTGGAGTCATCTGGTAGGGATCCCAAGATTCCCAGACCAATCTGGGTTTCCTGGAAGCCAACTTGCGTGGTTTAGAAACTGTATGGTAAGAGAAGAACTATTGTGTTACGCCTAGAAGGTCCCTAACCCAGGACCGAAGTGGACTCTGGAGCAAAGCAGGCTATCCCCAGCATGGATCACACCACATGCCTGCAAGCAGGGAGCCCTGCATCCCCTACTGCTGATGACCGTTCCTCTGGACAAAGGGCCCAACAGTCGGGTTTGCCTCTGGTAACACTGACACCTCCCTAGACACAAAATATTACTGTCAGATTTCACCTAAAGGTTGACTTGGCAAATGTGGTATTATCTATATTTTTACAACAATTAAAAAATTTTTTTTCATCTAAAATCTCCTACTCAGATTCCTAAAAGCAAGGATGCACAAACACAAAATTAACCAAGAGCTAGTTTTGGTCACAGAATAAAAATCGAGCTTGACTGATGGTCTAGATGTTTCAAGAGTGAGAATCTGTGAGCTACTAACCGCCCTGGTGCGCCTGGCTCCCTCTTACCTTGATATCTTGGATCAGCTGCTGGGTGGGGGTGTCGATGGGGGCCTTGGTGTCAGTCACGTTTTGAATGGCACTTGACCATCTGGTGGCCTCGTTGAGGAGCTTGGTGTAGAGCCGATAACAATGCTTGCGCCCGTACACGGTGACGTTCCAGTAGCCTGCAAGGGCAGGAGCAAACGCACACACGTTCAAGTTAACTCTGTAACCTAGGTGCTGTTCTTGTGCCAGAATACCGAAAGCAGCCAATGTCATATCCACCTGAGCCCCTGTAAAATACTGAGTTAGGTATTTATGTCAATAAGTACTAGCTATACGTGCTTGGCCTGTGCCAGGTATTCTGTGATCACCAAACACGTGCATTCCTGGCCCTGTGAAGTTTACACCTGAGAGGGGAAGACAAACACTAAACACTAAACCCAGAAGTAAATTGTAACATTTGTTTTGAAAGAACCAAACTGGTTGCCATCAAATTGACTCATGGTGACCCCCTATGTGTCAGGATATGTGCTCCATAGGGTTTTTAATGGCTGATTTTTGGGAAGCAGATCGCCAGGCCTTTCTTCCGAGGTAACTCTGGATGGACTTGAACTTCCATTATTTCAGTTAGCAGCCGAGAATGTTAATAATCTGTACCATCCAGGGACTAAAGACCTCCCCCTTGTTGTTGTTGTATGCTACTGAGTCAATTTTGACTCACAGCAACCCTATAGAACAGAGCGGAACTACCCCATAGGGTTTCCTAGGCTGTAATTTTTTTTTTCCCTTGGATGTCCACCAAGCCTCTAACCTAGAACTGCAGCCCAGAGGGTTATCACACAAACAGGGCCAGAAGTGCTGGATTGTGAAGTCAGAATTCCAAGCAAAACGCATATGAAAACAACAACAAGCTTGTATTGAGAGTTATAAAGGCATGCCTTCATCTACTCACTGGGACAAGGTAGGTGATGCCTTCTGGGTTCAAGAAGCCAGGGGCAGACCTGACAGCCTTAAAAAATACCAAACTATATGCTTGCAATGAGCATCATTTTTGGCAAAAAAAATTAATTTGAACTATTCTTTTTTTTTTTTTTTGAAGTCATAGCAACCCAAACTTTATCTGCTCATTGCTTATAGCTTTGCAATTTCTTCCTAATTTTTATTTTCAATTAGGTTAGCTGTAGTTTACCCATTTTTTCTATTTTTTAACAAAAGGCTTTTTTGAGCATTGACTGATTTAATACTTTTTTTTGGTTCTGACTTACTTTCAGATTTTTTTTTTCCTCATTCAAAAATTTATACACATATTGTTTTGTGACATTGGTTGCAATCCCCACAATGTGAGAGCACCCTCCCCTTTTCCACCCCCAGGTTCCCTGTGTCCATTCATCCCGTTCCTGTCCCTTCCTGCCTTCTCAACCTGCTTTTGGACAGCTAGGGTGTAATCCTTATGGGAACAGCCAGATCTTTTCTTCCATGGAGTCACTGGTGGGTTAGAATCACCGACCTTTCGGTTAGCAGCCAAGAACATCAACCATGGCGCCACCAGGGCTCTTGCAAGACCTCTTTACCATGGTTTAAATACCAAGTGTTCATAGAGCTAGCCACAGACAGACAGCCTTAGAAGATCATCAACAAGAAAAGAGCTGCTTTGGGGGAAAAATTATACACCCTACACAGGAATCTCATTCCCTTGTGCTAAGCAAGCTCAGGCCTTCTATGAACGGACATTCTGCGGGCCTAGCCAGTCATGGGCATGTTACCTGTCTCTTTGAATATCTTCTCATCCGGGGGGACGACCGAGCAGAGGCTGTTGAGGACCAAGGTGCCCAATTTCATTGCGTTCTTCTCCGAGCTCTTATAGTAATCCAAGGAATTATGGGTTAGCACAAACCACCGCTTCTTCAGTTTCAGTGAAGACATCTTTGGACTGTTGTTTACTTCTTTGTGCAACCATCCTTTAGGAAAGATGAGATCCCAAATTAAAAATGATGAAGGATGCAAAACACAATAAAAGCAACGAATGCCACTAAAGTGTACATGTAAAAAATGTCCAAACAGCAAATGTTTTGTTATATATATTTTTACCACAAAAAAGGAGTAATAAAAAAACAAAAAACTATGAAGAGAAACCCAACACCAAATAATTTGTATAATACTTATAAATTGGTCATATTTCTACATATTTGCTAGAAATTATCATATTGTCATTGTTAGCTGCCGTCAAGTCGATTCCAACTCATGGCGACCCCATGTGTGCAGAGGAGAAGTGCTCCACAGGATTTTCGATGACTGTGACCTGTCGGAAGCAGATCGCCCAGCCGGTCTTCTGAGGCACCTCTGGGTGGGTCTGAACTGCCAATCTTTTGGCTAGTAGTCAAGTGCTTAACGACTATTTGTGTCACCCAGGGTCTCCAGAAATGACCACACCCGTTCCGTATTTCATTATTTAAAAAAAACCAAACCAAACCAAAAAACTTTAAGAATCAAAGTTACTCGGAAAAGACGCCCAAGGTGGAAAAGCTGCAGAAATCTACACAGAATAAGAACAGGACTCAGTGAAAAGGCAGTTTAAGAACCAGAGACAGTTGTTGTGCTATTTCTATTTTTGCAACAATTAAAAAACAAAGGAGAGAGCCGGGACAGTCACCTCTGACTATGAATTCCTGGCCTTCCACTCTGGTGTCGCCCTTGGACCTCTGCAGCAGCGTGATCCAGTGATGCATCTCCTCCGGCGTGTCTGCGTTGCAGTGAAGGACCCGGTTGGCCGTGATGATCACAAATGAGTTGGGTCTGAGAGACAGGGTAAGAAGGAAGCAAAGCCTTAGGCCTATGGTCAGCGTCACCTCTGCCTGGACCAAGACTGAAGGCCTTTTTCCGGGCGTAGGGGTCATGGGGATTGGCCCTGCCGTGCTATTTGTATTTGACATGAAGGCAAATATTGCTCATTTCGGCGGGATTTATTTTAGGCATCATTAACCTTTAAATTTGGAGCAACACACTCTGAAGGTCCTGGAAGGAAAAACATTTCTTCGTGCAAAACTTTCCAGAAGCAGCTCAGTTCCAGGAAAGCTAAATAAGGTGATGGCGGCGGGAGGATTTTGTTTGATGTCTCTCTAAACTAAATTTCTTTTTGCCTCTGTGTAGTTGGATAATATTTCTGTGGACTGGGAATGAAGTGTCAGGTACCAGTGATGGAGGGTCAGTAACTAGGTGCCGGTGGAGAGCCTTATACACTTGATTATGCCTGGGGTGAGAAGCCACTTGGGTCCATGTTTTCAGATCACCTAGCAAGGGGGCATTTCACAGTCAGGGATGACCTAACAATGGAAATTTACTTCCCCATCATCTCTTTTTGTCTCAATGCCCTGAATCTCTTGTTGTTGTTAGTTGGTGTTGATTCCAACTCATGGCGACCCCATGTGTGCAGATGGAGAGTAGAACTGTGCTCCACAGGGTTTTCAAGGCTGTGACCTTTTTTTTTTTTTTAATTGTTGTACTTAAAGTGTAAGTTTACAATTCAAGTTAGTCTCTCATACAAAAATTTATATATACATTGTTATGTGACCCTAATTGCTCTCCCTATACTGTGACAGCACACTCCTCCTTTCCATTCCGGATTCCCCGTGTCCATTCAACCAGCTCCGGACCCTCTCTGTCTTCTCATCTGACCTCCGGAAAGGTGCTGCCCATTTAGTCTCATGTATCTACTTGAGCTAAGAAGAACACTCTTCACGAGTATCACTTTATGTCCCACAGTCCAGTCTAATGTCTGTCTGAAGAGTTGGCCTCGGGAATGGTTTTAGTTCTGGGTTGACAGAGTCCAGGGGCTATGCTTTCTGGGGATGCTCCAGTCTCAGTCAGACCATTAAGTCTGGTCTTTTCACTATAATTTGAGTTCTGCACCCCACTTTTCTCATGCTCCATCAGGGACTTTCTGTTGTGTTCCCTGTCAGGGCGGTCATAGGTGGTAGCCGGGCACCATCTAGTTCTTCTGGTGTCAGGATGATGAAGTCTCTGGTTTATGTGGCCCTCTCTGTCTCTTGGGCTAATAATTTCCTTGTGACTTTGGTGTTCATTCTCCTTTACTCCAGGTAAGCTGGGACCAACTGATGCATCTTAGATGGCTGCTTGCTAGCTTTTAAGACCCCAGACGCCACTCACCAAAGCAGGATGCAGAACATTTTCTTAATAAACTTTGTTATGCCAACTGACCTAGATGTCCCCTAAAAGCATGGTCCCCAGACCCGCACCCCTGATACTCTGTCCCCTGAAGTGTTTGGTTGTATTCAGGGAACTTCTTAAGGCTGTAACCTTTTGAAAGCAGACTGCCAAGCCTATCTTCTGAGGCGCCTCTGGGTGGGTTTGAACCAACCTTTTGGCTAGTAGTTAAGTGCTTAACCGTCTGTGCCCCCCAAGGACTTCTGTGAACGTCGCACACTGTTGTTGTCGAGTGCTGTGGAGTCCACTCTCACTCATAATGACCTTACAGGACAGAGAAGAACTGCCCCATAGGATTTTCTAGGCTGTGATTTTTATGACAGCTGACTGCCAGGTCTTTTCTCCTGTGGAGTAGATGGTGGATTTGAACTGCCAACCAGGCTTCCTTGAACCCCTCACATGCCCAGGTTTATACTTAAATCTTCTATCTAACCACTTAAAGCTAGTGAATGGGACCATTTGCAAGTGTTCAACTGTTCACTGTAATTAAGTGCTGCAAAAATTCAAGGAAATGAAAGACTAACTGCACTGTACTTGTCAGGGGAGGGTAGTGGTGGGTCAGAGGCAGAATTCTCGCCTTCCATGTGGGAGACCTGGGTTCGATTCCCAAACAATGTATCTCATGTGCAGCCACCACTTGTCTTGTCAGTGGAAGCTTTTGTGTCGCTATGATGCTGAACAGGTTTCAATGGAACTTCTAGACTATGACAGACTAGGAAGAAAGGCCTGGTGATCCACTTCTGAAATGCCAAGGAAAACCTTATGGCTCATGGTGACACCATGAGTCAGAGGTCCAACTCAACGGCAGTTAACAACAACAACAACAGTAGTGAGGGGGTAGTCACGAGGTGGTGCAGAAGGTTAATGTACTCAGCTGCTACCCAAAAGGCCGGAGGTTTGAGTCCACCCAGAGAGACCTTGGAAGAAACGCCTGGAGAACTACTTCTGAAAAATCAGCCACTCAAAACCCTATGGAGCACAGTTCTACTCTGACACACGAGGCTGCCATGAATCAGAATCAATTTGGCAGCAACTGGTTTGGTTTTTGGTTTTAGTAGCCAGGGAAAGATACGTAAAAATAAGCAGGACTCGAGGTGCTCCTTAAAAATAGATAAACTAAAAAGATTTTTCTGTAGTTGAGAAAGGAGAAAGGTGGGGGGCAATTAAGGAAAAGCAAAAAGCCTGAACAGGGATGCAAAGTTCTAAGTTCAGATCATCATACAGTCAGCCTGGTCAAGAGGTTTGGGAGCAGAAAAATGTAGATAAGGTTAGGTAGGAACCTGAAGACCAACAAAAGAAGAATCTGAGCTTTGATGTGTGATACAACACACAGGTATTAAAGATCCCTGAGCTGGGTATAAAATGGTGCAGGGTGAGTAACGGAAACAAAAGATCCGTGGTTCAGAAGGGTCTTTCTTCTCACAGTGTGGTGATGGAGACCCCAGAACTCTAATTCTGCCTGCTGTTGTTAGCTGCTGTCGAGTTGGCCCCCAACTCCTGGCAACTCCATGCACAATGAGATTGGACCATTGTGATCCACAGGGTTCTGACTGGCTGATTTTTCAAAGTACATCCAGTTCTTTCTTACTACTCCATCTTAATCTGGAAGCTCTGCTGATACCTGTTCAACATCACAGCAACACGCAACCTCCACTGACAGATAGGTGGTGGCAGCACGTGAGGTGCATTGGTCGGGAATCGATCTTGGTCTTCCACATGGAAGGCGAGAATTCTGCCGCTGAATCAACACGGCCCCCTAATTCTGCCTAGCAGGGACTATTCTAAAGCTATCTTACTATGGGCAGAAGTCCAGTTTGATTGTTATTCTGGTTCCAGAGCAAACATTCTGCTGGAGGCCAGAAACGGAACTCACAAACAGCAAAGAAAAACTGAGAAGATAAAGACAAAGCTGACCGGGTACAAAGAGTCCTAAGACCACTTCTGAAGATGATTTGCCTTCAGTAAACAAAAAACAGTAACAAAAACAATACAAGCTACTGTGCGGGGCACCAGGCAAGTAGCAATGGCAAGAGTAACAGATGTTTGTTGTTTCATGTATGAATACTCTACATATGTCCTGTCATCAAAATCCTTTTCAAGCACACCACGTTTAGAACGGGGAACTACAACCTCCCCTCTGCTGGAATGCAGTGTCACGCACAAGTGTTTTTTCCCAGTACAAATCTCAAGGTTGCCCCGCGTCCAGTGAAAACATATTCCTCTTTTGCATTTTGGAAACTGTCTAAATGAGGTTCCCACTGTGTCTCCTAGCACTCCAAAGAGACTCACAGAGGGAGACTTCTGGATGATGTAAAATTGGGTCCCAAGGAGGAAGACTTTGTTTGGGTCACTGAGGTTGACAAGCAGGGACACACAGCCGAGGGTCATTTGACAGCCCAGTCAAATGAAAGTGGCCCCAAAGCCCAGAGGCATTTGTGGCATACACTGGAAACTGATTAATTTTGTTAAAGCCACATCCTAACTTACCTATCGGGACTGTCCGAAGCACACACAGAATCAATCAGCCCCACGTCCAAAGTGCCCTGTAAAGGAGCAACAAGCAAAGAGTAAGAGAACCGTTAAAGTGCAGTGCTCATTACAGTAATAACCTGAAATTACAACTCCCTAAACAAGCAAACAAAAAAAACCTCCCTCTTTCTTTTGTTAACTGCAAAATAATAGTTTATCTAAGAAGGCCCTCTTCACTCAGTGACTACAGACAGCCCTAGGCAGGACAGAGTCTCTTGTTCATTTATTAAAATAAGAAAAAACATGCATTCATCTCTCCCCTCGTTTTTAAAATATCTTCAGAGAAGAGGGTTTACGATCATCTTTCAACAGTACAAATTTTCTAATTTACACCATGACTTTCTTTCCCTAATGTTCACACTTAACTCTTTGGAGAAACGCTGCTTGAGTTAAGGAAACAAGGAAATAAAAGCTTATTTCTAAAAATCAATTTTATGACTCTCTGTTTCTGGCAGGGAGTGAAAACAAAAGGAACAGGCTTTAGAATCCACCAAACCCTTGAAGAAAAAGTGTAATGTACTTCCATGATTCCATAAAAAATTAGGATTTTTGTTTTTTGTTCTTTTAAGAAAGGTTTGAGGTGGGAGAACTGGAATCTATGACGACTTACAACCTTCTATAATTTATTCTGTTTTTCTGCATAATTTTTAACTCATATGTTCCTGTTTTCCTCTCCTTTAATTATGTTGCTGTCAGCTGCCACTGCATCAGCTCCAACTCTTAGCAACTTTATGTATCACAGAAGGAAACATTGCCCGGTCCTGCACCATCTTCACGATGGTTGTTGTACCTGAGTCCACTGTTGTCACTACTGTGTCAAGCCACCTCATCGAGGGTTTTCCGTGTTCGTTGGCCGCCTAATTTACCTCTTAAATTACTTTACTACTCAATTTAATTTGTTATTGCTGAATGCCGTTGAGATGATTCTGACTCACAGAGATCCTAAAGGACAGAGCAGAATTGCCCCATAGGGTTTTCTAGGCTGTAATCTTCATGGGCACAGATCACTGGGTCTTTTCTCCTGCGGAGCCACTGGTAGACTTGAACTGCTGACCTTTTGGTTAGCAGCTGAGCGCTTAACCTTTGTGCCACCAGGGCTCCTTTAATTTTCTTTACTACTTAATTATTATACTTTAACTTAAAAAAAAAAAAAAAAGTTATTTAAACATTCCCACTCAGGCCCCTTTCCCATCATGACTTCCTCCCCCTTCGCCTGCCTCCGGACACCCCACCTGCATCCAGGTGGACGCCCACTCACCACAGCATTCTGTGGGTTTGCCTGCTCATCGTGCATCTCCCGAATCTCCTGGTCTGTGGACGCGTGGACCTGGCTCAGCACGCTGAACCACTGGCTGTGGGGAGAGAAGAAGGACAGTCAAGGAACAGTCAATCCCAGGTGAATACAGAGATGGCACCATGCTCCACACATCTCCCCGAGCTTCTGGGCTTTTCATTTGCTCCTTGTCATGAGTAAGTGTGGGTCTGACAATACCAAGGAGCAAAGGCACAGAAGCAGCCTTTTTATCATACAGCCTGATGTTAGGTCAATGGAAGACCCTTTCCTCCAGGTCTCACAGAGCTTTCCAGAAATTTGATGATGATGATGTTGAATTCCTTGAAGAATTGGTAGCACAATAATGAAATCCTCAGTTCCACCCAAAATACTTCTATTAAGGATCTTGACTGAGGATATTATATAGAACCTAGATGATACATGTTGTTGTGTGCTACTGAGTCGATTCAGACTAAGCGACCCCACGTGACAGCGCAGAGCTGCCCCACAGGGTTTTCTTGGCTGTAGTATTTAAGGGAACAGATGGTCAGGTCTTTTCTCCCACGGAGCCACTCTATGGGTTCGAACCACCAACCTTTCAGTTAACAGCTGCGTGATTAACCATTATAACACCAAGGCTCCTTAGGTGACATATAGGTGACCTTCTGTTTTTTCCTTGTTTGTTTTAAATAATTTTCAAGGAAAGGTGGCCAACAGCTTAAGAGTACCACCTTAGAACTACCACTTGATGCCTGGTTTACTACTCACTCCCAGGATGCGGTTTCCAACCACTTGACAGGATTTCCACTTAAGTGACTAAAACCAAGAGAGACGGAAATCACAAACAACTGCCTGAAGTAGAAAGAGGAAAATTATTGTAACTCTTCCATCTTCATTTCCAAATGACTTTTCCCAATTCCTGCCTTATCAAAATCAGATAATAAAAGAAAATAATTCAACTCCAGAAAAATGAAGCAGAACAAAAGTTATAACAAGACACACAATCCATGCTTAAGAAAAATGAACATGAATATCCATCCATCCAACATGTATTAAGCAACTACTGAAAGGCTGGCAGTTCAAGTCCACCCAGAGGTGGACTGGTAATCTAGTTCAGAAAAACGAGCCACTGAAAACCCTGTGGAGCACAGTTCGACTCTGACATACATGAGGTCACCACGAGTTGGCACTGACTCGACTCAAACGGTACAGACTGTGGTAAGTGCCAAGTGTGAGAGGGATGCTAAGACTCCCTTTTCTTTAGGGGGCTTGTCAGACACAAATACAAACTCCTGCTAAATAAGGCACTGCATGCTGGAGTCTCAAGAGAAACAGGTAAACTAGGACACCAGAGGAGAAAGTACTTGGCATGCAATGGGATATTTAAGTGAAAAAATAACGCTCATATATGAAGACAAGCCATGTAAGTAAGTTACTTTTAGCAAAGCACTAAAATCTAATTATCTCCTTTGACTCTTGAAGGACAAACATGGGACCAAGAGCTTGACAATATACAACACACACAGACTCTAAGGGAGACCAAGAGAAATATCTTAATATGAATTTGTTCCATCAATCTTGGTTAACTTAGCTCAAAAATATTCCAAATTGAACACTGAAAAACACACACATCCAAGATGTAGGCCACATGTGATTCACACATAAAGGAATACAATTCATTATGTTTTCAACTGATACAGATGATACCCTTAAATTTATAACTGTTTTCTCTTGGATCAAGTGTAACTTGCAGAGCCTGAAAAGGAATTTTAACAGATGTGTTCCACTGGTCAGGGGAAAAAAGCCCTTGGCTAAAACATGGCAAATGTTAAATTTAGCAAGTTCATCATGGCATAAAGCAGACAGGACAACTGTCAGATGCTGGGGCTATAATTTGGCCGAGAAGTTGTAGGCACTCCCTGAACCACAAAAAAACCACACGTGGTCTCCAGAAGTTGCAGATGGAATGATGAGGCTGTAATTCCGTTTGCTTGTTTTTCTGGTTTGTGTTATAATTTAAGGATCCAACCAGGGTTTTAGTTTATTCCCATGGGAAGGATTATTTTCTGATGTCTTTGCCCTTAATGCTGCCACCAGGGCATGTATCCCCTCAGAGGCCTATTTCAAAGGGCAAGGGGTAGCAGGTAGTCCTGAGAACTTATTACATTCACTACCAATTGCTGTGGAGTCCATTCCAACTCATGGCAACCCCATGGGTGTGAAGGTAGAACTGGGCTCCACAGGGTTTTCAGTGGCTGATTTTTCAGAAGTAGAACCCCAGGCCTTTCTTCTGAGGTGCCTCTGGGTGGACTCAAACCTCCAACCTTTTGGTTAGCAGCTGAGCGCATTAACCAGTTGTACCACCCAGGGACTCCTAACAGGTTCTAGTGATTTCTGAGCTGAGAAGTGAAGAATACAGGCCAGAGGATGTTGCCCTCGTAAGTTGGAAGCCGATTCCTGGCATTGCTCAGAGGGGATGATAGCCACCTTCAACATAACCCTACAAAGACCCACAAAGCAGCGGGAATCAACAGAACAGATTCTCCACTGTGTTGCATCCACTGCACGACCTTGTGCTGCATCTCACTGAAGAGTGAACACCAATTCCCTTAAATTTTGTGCTGTATCTCTGGGGCACTCCATTAGCGATGGAAGACGGAAGCCTGCCATCTAGGAAAGTTAGACAACTTCCCCCCACCAATAAGAAATGCCACTGCCCTCCGGGCTCAGCCAAAGATTGAATTTGAGCTTCTGAAGAAACAAATGTTAAAAAGCTTAATGCCTCTATCAGTAGAATTGAGCTTGCATTACTTTATTCATACTATCCTTTCTCTGCACCTCAATCTTATCATCTGCAAAATGCAGATTAATAGTAATAAAAAAAGCCACAGGGTGGTTATGAGGATTTAATGAGTTAACTTATGGAAACTGCTTTAGAATACCACCTGGTATACAGTCAGTTTTACCTAAGTGTAAATGATCTCTTCTATTCTATTCTAAATTCCTCAGTATCAAGACCTTAGTTGTTGTGCTGTCCAGTCAACTTTCAACTCACAGACCCCACCTGACAGAGCAGAACTGCCCCACAGGGTGTTATAGGCTGGAACCTTCATGGGAGCAGAATGCCAGGTCTTTCTCCTGCAGGGTGGCTAGGGGCTTCAAACCACCAATCTCTCGGTTAGCAGTCAAGCACCTGACCGTTGTGCCACCAGGGCCCCTTATTGAGACTTCTAATACACTCCAAATGCCATAGCATTATCAGTTAATGCTCTCAGTTTTTTGATCCTTAAGCAAATACAAGCTGTTCACTTTCAAACCTCAGAAGCTTCCAGAAGGTGGCCTTTCAGCTGTGTGTAGCTGCTCAGTTGACATAATGCTGCAAGTGACAATAAAAGCCCGAGTCAGGATAACAAGGGGTCTGACTTGAAGGCAATGGGTTTGGTTTTGGAATGGAATTTGAGGATGGAAATCCTGAACCCTGTGCTATACCTTGAACACATCTGCCCAATAAAAGATTCACCAGGGGTCAAGTCTACAAATTTCATGGAATTCTTAGTTCTTCATCCATCCTAACAGAAAAACCCAACTAGAAAATCAACGGAACCTTTCAAAGCCTGTAGGATAAACGGTGACCCGTGGGACGCCCAAGCCTGTGCCTGAGCAAGGGTGTCATGCTGGTGACGTCAACGGTGTGGAGCCTCACCTGGCATCTTCTGGGGACTCAGCGATCAGGTGGAAGGTCCTATCGGTCATAATGATATCGATCCCATTCTCTTTGCTGGTGTTATCTATGATCTCCCTGCAAAGGAAGAAAAGCACCAAACACAAATCAGGAACACAGAATTCTTAATAATAATCACTGAGAAGAGCAATTCATGAAGCTCAGTTGGAAACTTTAACTGCAGAAACTAACTGTATACCCACTTCAGCTTTTTTTTTTTCCCTTTCACGAAGGATGAAGATTCTGTGGCCTCTAGGGGGAGCCAGGCACCTCTCTGCTCCCAAGAGAGACAGGCTGCTGGCTTGGTCAGGTCATGGTGATGGTGGTGGTGGTGGTGGGGGGTTTCCTTACTTCTCTAGGGAGGTGCCTCGCTTCTCACACTGGCCCACCCAGTGCCTGGCCCTGCTCAGGACCTGAAAGGCTTAGGGCAGCAGCCCCCAATCCCACCTTCCTTCAGTTCCTCTCACTGATCTGCGATGGAAGGAAACCCAAACTGTGGCCAACCTGCACAAGCTCTCTCCCTAGTTCATCACAGCTTTCCATCGCGGTTTCAGACCTTGACTGCAGCCCCTTACTTACGTTGCCTGATTAACAACAACAACCCCCAAACACAAAACAACAACAAAATCCCCAAAACCAGGTGCCAAGGAGCTGATCCCAACTCATGGCCATCTCATGAGTGTTAGAGTAGGACTGTGCTCCACAGGGTTTTCAAAGGCTGATTTTTCAGCAGATCTCAGGCCTTTTTTTCCCAAGGCACCTCTGGGTGGATGTGAACCTCCAGCCTTTTGCTTATCAGCCAAGCGCTTAGCTGTTTGTGCCACCCAGGGACTCCACTCTGCTCGATCCAGACACAATATTTCCATTAGGGACCGAGGGAAGAAGAGCAGAATCTGGGTATTTCCGGATCTCGTTACCATCTTAATCTCGTCCCAACATTCCCTCACAGCCCAAAAAGTTTAATAAAACTGGTGGGATGGGGTAACAAAATCTGGGAAAAACAACAGATGTTAGAATCAGAGTAGAGACCGTATTGTTTTTGATGAAGAACTGTCTTGGGGATAAAGTCAGCTTGCTTTGAAAACTCAAGTACAACAGTTTGGTTTTTATTTTACATTTATTTTATACCAATAAGATGAATGCATTTTAACTGGTTAGAAAAAAATAAATATTGTGCAATCTTATAGCTAGAATCATTGAGAGGAGACACAATTTAAAAAAAAAAACAAAAAACCTAAGTTAAGTCAGAATTCCCAGAAGTGCATGTGATGCTTTCTCTGAGCAGAAGGAGGGAAGTGACGCTGACGAGGGTCATCAGCTAAGCGCCTGGCACTATAGCGTCTTGAACATGAGGATAATCCCCAGGGAAAGCTATCCAGACCCTATCATCCTGGATGGGCTGCTTTCTCTCTCAGGAACTGGGATATCTCGTGTGTAAAACCTAGGTACCTGCGTGATGCAAACGGTTTGCTCTCAGCTACTAGCCCAAGGGTTGGGGGTTCGAGCCCACCCAGTGGTGCTGTGGAAGAAAGGTCTGGCAATCTGCTTCTGTGAAAATTACAGCCAAGAAGGCCCTATGGAGCAGCTCTACTCTGTAACACACGGGGTCTCCATGAGTCAGAATCAACTTGATGGCAACAGGTTTTGTTTTTGTTTTTTTTGTGAGTAAAATGAGTGGGTGAGACCCCATGATCGAGCTCTAATGCCGCACTTCTGAACTTGAGCTGCCTGTCAGAATCCTGGGAAATGTTCTGAAAAACATAGGCAGGTGCTGGGTCACCCTTTAGGCCAAAGAATAAAAAAAATCTCTAGGGGCAGGGCCCAAGGATTTGTATTTGTAAAAAGCTTCTCTCGGGATGGGGAAGGGAATAAAGATGACATTGTCAGGCCAGGAATAAGTGTAGCTAAGCCCCAATTCAGGACTCTTCCAAGCTTGAAGTTCCAAATAATGAAGCAAGTATTCAGAAGGGTCTTCTAGACCCTGAATCTGAAAAGAAGGTAGGGAACACCTTGTCATACCAGAAAACAAAGGAGCTATCAAAAACTACTATGACAATATGAAAACGACTCAGGAGGCAACACAGAGAGGCTCCCCGTGGCCAAAAGTGAGACCAGTGTGAGCGTCCATAAGAACAGATGCAATGGCTGGAAACCCACTAAATATGTTAACTTCCATGAGCTCATAATGATACGGGGAAAAATAAATACAAACAACCTAAATTGTCATGACCAGAATGAACCAACTCAATTTTCTGGACACTAGGAAAGAATCAAACACTTCTCCTGCCTTTCCTTCACACACAGTCCCAGAGAGTACCACTTAGCTGATCAGGAGAAGCTTCTCTTTACAGAAATGTTCTAGCTAATAAATGAATATCACATTTTGCAACCCTTAATGTATTAATCAGGACACTGGTGGGCACAGAAGTAAACCGAAAGGTCAGTGGTTCAGATGGCAATGGATTTTAATGTATTAATCGATCTAGGCAATAATCAGTAATTATAGCTACTATTACAAGAGTCCCCCACGTGTCTGTCAGTTTGTCATACTGTGGGGGCTTGTGTGTTGCTGTGATGTTGGAAGCTATGCCACCAGTATTCAGATACCAGCAGGGTCACCCATGGTGGACAGGTTTCAGCTGAGCTTCCAGGCTAAGATATACTAGGAAGAAGTACATGGTGGTCTACTTCTGAAAAGAATTACACAGGGAAAACCTTATGAATAGCAGCAGAACACTGTCTGATATATTGTCGGAGGATGAGCACCAACCCCCCACGACTGGTTGGAACGCACTCAAAAGACGACTGGGGAAGAGCTGCCTCCTCAAAGTAGAGTCGACCTAATGACGTGGATGGAGTCAAGCTCTCAGGACCTACATCTACTGATGTGGAACGATTCAAAATGAGAAGAAACAGCTGCAAACATCCATTAATAATCAGATGTGGAATGTGCGAAGTATGAATCTAGGAAAATTGGAAATGGAATGCATAAACATCAATATTCTAGGCATTAGTAAGCTGAAATGGATGGCTATTGGCCATTTTGAATTGGACAATCATATGGTCTACTATGCCAGGAATGACAACTTGAAAAAGAATGGCATTGTGTTCATCGTCAAGAAGAACATTTCAAGATCTATCCTGGAGTACGACACTGTCAGTGATAGGATTATATCCACGCGCCTACAAGGAAGACCAGTTAATATGACTATTATTCAAATTTACACACCAACCACTAAGGCCAGAGATGAAGAAATTGACGATTTTTACAAGCTTCTGCAGTCTGAAATTGATCGAACATGCAATCAGGAGGCAATGATAATTACTGGTGATTGGAACATGAAAGTTGGAAACAAAGAAGAAGGATCGGTAGCTGGAAAATATGGCCTTGGTGACAGAAACGATGCCAGAGATCGCATGATAGAATTTTGCAAGACCAACGACTTCTTCATAGCAAATACCTTTTTTCACCAACATAAACGGCGACTGTACACATAGACCTCCCCAGATGGAATACACAGGAATAAAATTGACTACATCTGTGGAAAAAGACGATGGAAAAGCTCAATATCATCAGTCAGAACAAGACCAGGGAGCCGACTATGGAACAGACCATCAATTGCTCATATGCAAGTTCATGTTGAAACTGAAGAAAATTAGAACAAGTCCATGAGAGCCAAAGTACAACCTTGAGTATATCTCACCTGAGGTTAGAGACCATCTCAAGAACAGATTTGACGCGTTGAACACTAATGACTGAAGACCAGACCGGTTGTGGAATGACATCAAGGATATCATACGTGAAGAAAGCAAGAGGTCATTAAAAGGCAAGAAAGAAAGAAAAGACCAAGATGGACATCAGAAGAGACTCTGAAACTTGCTCTCAAATGTTGAGTAGATAAAGCAAAAGGAAAGAATGATGAAGTAAAAGAGCTGAAGATTTCAAAGAGGAGCTCAACAAGACAAAGTATTATAATGACATGTGCAAAAGAACTGGAGATAGAAAACCAAAAGGGAAGAACACACTTGGCATCTCTCAAGCTGAAAGAACTGAAGAAAAAATTCAAGCCTCAAGTTGCAACAGTGAAGGATTCTATGGGGAAAATATTAAATGACACAGGAAACTTCAAAAGAAGATGGAAGGAAAACACAGAGTCACTATACCAAAAAGAATTGGTCGATGCTCAACCATTTCAAGACGTAGCATATGATCAGGAACCGATGGTACTGAAGGAAGAAGTCCAAGCCGCACTGAAGGCACTGGCAGAAAACAAGGCCCCACCAAAGGGTGGAATGTCATGGTTTGAATTATGTCCCCCCAAAAAATGTGTGTATCAATTTGGCTAGGCCATGATTCCTGGTACTGTGTGATTTTCCTGTATGTTGTAAACCTGCCTCTATGATGTTAATGAGGGAGGATGGGTGGCAGTTGTCTTGGTAAGGCAGGACCTGATCTACAGGACTGGATTGTGTCCTGAGGCAATCTCTTGAGATATGAAAGAACAAAAGTCAGCAGTGAGACAGGGGGACCTCATACCATCAAGAAAGCAGTGCCGGGAGCAGAGCGCATCCTTTGGACCGGGGTCCCCGTGCAGAGAAGCTCCTAGTCTGGGGGAACACTGAAGAGAAGAAGGCCGACAGAGAGAAAAAGCCTTCCCCTGGAGCTCATGACCTGAATTTGGACTTTTAGCCTATTTCAACTGTGAGGAAATAAACTTCTCTTTGTTTAAAAAAAAAAA